AAAAAAAAAAAAAAAAAAAAAAACCCAGCTTGATCTTAGCAAACATTCCTTCTCCCTCCAGAAATTTTCCAGTATCTACACATATCAAGCAGTAACCTGTCTGTCCTTGAGCCAGAAACCTTGCTGTGCCACAAATCTTTATCTTACACCAGAGACTTTATAGCCTGAGGAAAATTTCCAGTCCTCCGCAAGGTCAATATTTGAAACTGCAAGGCTTTGGAAAGCCAGGCCCTGTGAGGTACATATGCTTTAAGAATCCTCTACAGGTCTGCTCTGTAAGAGTGAAGTGGAGAGCAGAAGTGACTCAACTAATACATAAATGTAGATGGGTCTTTGGGACCCATAAAGTTTAACCTTTGGTGTGCATATTCTTTGAGCCACTATTTTGGGTGTTTGTCATGATCACACGAACTGGCTGATGATCAAGTCCTCACTTCACTCTGTATTCAGACAATTTAAATTTAGTCTCCAAGATTATAGGATATTAGGAGGCAGTATGTGGCTCTCTTAGTCAAGATCCTTTCCTTCCCCCAATTAATAGAAACCCACCTAGGCTAGTCCAAGGATATGTAGGGCTGGCTGCAAGGATAATCAGGGCTCCACATAACCCATGATCAGGAACTACAGTTGGGCTTCATGGACAGTTGTAACTGAGACTGGAAAGTCAACTAAATCCTGCAGATCTGCTTCATTCTTTTCCCTTTACAGGTTGCTCTTTTGCTTCTCCACTCATGACTACTCCACACCTTCTCCATTTACTACCTGTCTCCAAATCCCAATTTCAAATTCCAAGAGGGAGAATCTTGCCCAACATGGTTCAAATGCTTATTTCAATCCAGTAGCTCCAGACAGGGGAACAGTCTCTGTATAAGTCAGGGTAACCTAGTTGCTCCAACAGACAACCCCAGAATCTCAGGCGTGTAACAAATAAGGTTATTGCTTGCTTAATCACAGTCCAAGTGTAGGTAGGAGGAGATGGGGGCTCTCTTCCACACACCTCCACTCACTTAGGGACCCAGGCTCATTCCTTGTATGACTCCTGCCATCCCAGGAGATCTCAGAGACCTCCACTGTGACCTTATCCAGTCCACTGATGAGAATAACAAGATCATGGACAATTTTTAGGGGTCAGGTTTGGAAGAGACATGCATTACTTCTGCCTACATGCCATCAATGAGAATTAAGTCACAAGGCCCCACCTAACTGTAAGGGAGGCTGGGAAGTATAATTTAGCTGTGTACCCAGCAGAAGAAAGATACAGGGCTTCGCGAACAGATAGCTTTGTCTCTTTCATAGACAAACATCATGTAACTGTAGCTATCCAGGGTTTTACCCCTGTGGGTGTGGCAGGGAAGGATTCTTAGAGAACAGGAGTGGGAGGGGATGCTGACACCCCAATAGTGCACACTGTTTGGGTCCTAGACTTAAGACAAGGCCTGACTGCCACTTGCTAGCCTGTCAGTGTACCACACCTCTGGAACCTTAAGGCCCTAGTCTATAAGGGGAATCATAACACTTGCCCCATTGACCTAAAAATGCTTTGTGAAGAGTAGATGTGAAAATGTTTAGTCAGCTGTAAACCCCTATATATATGTAAAGATGTTGAGTATTAGCTGTAGATTTATTTACAAAATACTCCATATTTGTTTTGGGATAACATGGCTGAAGCTACATAAGTAGTAAGTGCCAAAGCTGGGGTTTGAACTCAGGCAGTCTTAGGGCAGAGTTCAAGCTGTTAGAGGCCACCCTAAATGCCCTCTCTAAGACAGGCATAGGAATAGACCTTACTGCCCAGGGTTGTTGTGAGATCATGAATGTAAAGCACTTATCACTGTAAACCCCTATGTACATGTAAAGGTTTGAGTATTTGCTGTGGATATTTTTACATGTAATAATCATTCCATAGTTAGTAGCTATTTTTTCAAGGAGAAAATCTCTCTTTGGTGAGTTTTATAATGCACTCTTACTCTGATACAGGAATGACACTCCCAGCACAGAAGTGTGTATTGGACACGTTCAGAACCAATGGAGATAACAAGATCCTGATTGCCACCTCGGTTGCTGATGAAGGCATTGACATTGCTCAGTGCAATCTGGTCATCCTGTATGAGTATGTGGGCAACGTCATCAAAATGATCCAGACCAGAGGTAAGAGGGGCTTTGGTGCCATTCCTATATGGCTCCCATTTTATCTGATTTGTGAGTGTGTCTATCATTCTGGCCTTTCGCCTTTACTGAGCCAGGGTTGAGTATGTGACCAGTGGCAGGCACAGTGGACTCCGGTATCATTGGCCCTAAAAGTGACTTATTTGGTCAGGATTGGTTGGTTACAGTTCTGTCCACTAGCATGTACCCAGTTTTGATCACAATAATACTGCTTACTTGCCTGCCACTGACTGACATTTCTGGAAGGATGATTCCAACTTGGATTGAGGATTTGCTGGTCAACATGTGGACCTTTCATGGTTGTGCTTGTGGTGCTGGTGGGCTCCTTGTATTCCAGAAGAGATACCCGAGAGTTTTTCTGTCTCACCTGGATGAGATGGTCTCCTAACCAGTCTCCTCTCCTTTTTCCAATTTCCGTAAGAACAGCTGCCACATTACTTTTCCTGAAAAACAACTCTGAGCATGTCACTTCCCTGTATAGACACTCCAGTCGTTCCCCAATTTTCTTGATGTTAAAGAGTTTTCGACATTTGGCACCCACTTATCTTTCCAACCTTATTTCCCATTCTTCCCTTTTGTTCATTATCTACTTCAGCCAAACTGACTTTATCATTTATTGCTTTTTGAAGGAATTACTCATGTATTGCTACTCTTTCCTTGTACCTTTTCCCCTTCCACCATATCACCTGACCCTAATTCCCCCAGTTGGCAATAATCTTTCTTTTGAATGTCCATAACCCTTTATATCTATCTTTGTAATAGTCCTTTTAATTTTCCACCTATGTTCTGGTGGTTGTGAACATATTTCATTTTCCCATTGCCTAGAAGGCTCTTGAGGGAGGATCTGTTTATTATTCATTGTAGAGCCTTTATAGTTCATACTGAGGGTTTATGTTGGAATATTTATAAAGCAGTGTTTCTGATAATAAGGCTGTCCAATCACATTGCATTGATGGATACCCTGAGAAAGCCAGCCTAAGGTGAGCCTCTAGTTTATTCACATGTTTAACATGCAGGTGCACACCTACATTTGAGTCTACTTTTAACAGCTCACTTCCCTAGAAAGCAGAATCCAGTGAACCAAAGTTGAATTTCAGGAATACTTCTATCCCTTTGTTTACGTATTCTCAGGTTGTGTTAGAGTTTTAAGTCAAAGATGAGAAATGAAATATTTATTTTCTGATAGGCAGAGGAAGAGCAAGAGGTAGCAAGTGCATTCTTCTGACTAGTAATGCTTATGTAATTGAGAAAGAAAAAATAAACATGTACAAAGAGAAAATGATGAACGACTCCATTTTAAGCCTTCAGAGATGGGACGAAGAAGTATTTAAAGAAAAGGTAAGTTTTCATCTGTGTTATTCTTTCAGAATCTGACTATGAATAACAAACAGGGAAAGTGAGCATGGTTGGTGCCTTTTATCATATTGCTCAGTGTGTTGTATTAGAATAATGGTTTTATCCTGCAGTAAACATCAAATTCATTCTGTTTGTGTCAATAAGATTAAAATATACTTTATTATTGCTGAAATATGAAGTTATGTTTTTAGATCTAAAAGGCAAACTGAGCTAGAATTGCTCTTAAGTTGACAGTCCATCTTGAGGGCTACACCTTAACACTGCAGGGCAGAGATCTCGTTAGTCTCTTCCTCACATGTCTCTCTCTCTCTTGCTCAGCCAAAGTCAGTCCTTGGAGAAAATCTCCCAGGTCGCTGTGCAGGTGTTGGAAGGCCTATTGTAGCTATAGACAATAAGGTATAACTTGGAGTGGCACACCTATTCAAATCAGCCTCTTGGTAATGACCTTCCTTATTTTGTAATTTCCTTTATAACACAGAAGCATGAAATCAGATTGGAGAAAGTCAAGAAACACACACACACACTCGCTTGCATGCACGCTAACACTTTTTCTGGACCCTTTGCAGAGATTTTCATCTCAGAATCCCTGGAAGCACTGAACACTGCAGGGCTAGGAGAGAGCTTTAACACTAGAATCCGTAGTTCAAATCCCAGTCTGCCACTAACAGGATGTGTGACCTCAGGTATTTGCTCTGTCTTTTAAATAATCTCCTCATTTGTAAAGTTGGGAAAATAACGGTATTTAATTCACAGGGCAGTTGTGAAGATAAAATGAGATGTATGCATTGCTTAGACCAGTGCCTCATGTAAAACAACTACTCAAAAAAGGAGAGTTGTTATTGGACAGAGGCATGAGGCATAGTTCACCTTCATGCAGATGAGCCTTACTATTCAGTAGAACAACTCTGTAGTGTCCATAGTTTTAAAAAGTCATAATCTCTGTGCTCCAAAAAGTACTGAGAAGCAATGATCTAAAGCAAATTAACACTTTTTTAGGACAAAATTACAACTTTATGTTAGTGTCATTTAAAAAAACATTTCTTCCTAATGTTTCTTGGAGAATGAAGGTATCTAAAACCACTGCTTCTACATTTTCAGTGAGAATTGTAGGGAAATTCTTTAGTTCCTTCCTTAGTTTTACTGCACCACCTCTGCATTTTGTTGAATACAATGATGTTGCCAGTAAAGGCTTAAAAATCATATTGAGTCTCAATAACCATAGAATACTTTTTTACCTCCTCCGCTGGGTGACAAGCTACTTAGACTCATATGTGACCGAAGTGACAGAGTAAAAGTCTATTGAGGAAGATGGAGGCTGGACCAGACATAGACATTGTTTTGTAACCAGCACATCAAGACAAGGAGTGGGGTTGAATTAGGCACTTTGACAGCATTTGGGGGTCCACTAACACCCATAGATAGAAGACTGGTGTAATGGTAAAGAACAAGAGAGCCCAGAACAAGTGGAGCTGGGAGTTATTGGTAATTCCATGGCAGCTGGGAGCCCAGACTTTTGGTGACATCCCTGTCTTATCATAGGTGATCAGCCCAGCTGCTCTGTTAAAAAGAAAGCTTTGCTTTCAAAGGCTTAGTAGAAATATAATGAGGTAGGGAAATGTTATATTCTTAAAGCTAAAAGGAATTATGGTTGTTGGGGTTAGATCCCCTTCTGTGGTGTTTTGATAAGGGCATGGGGGTTGGATCTGAGCACTGATAGAGTTGGGATGTGTTGTCCCCCGAAAGCTCATGTGGAAATCTTATCCCCAATGCGGCAGTGTTGGGAGCTGTTTGGGTCATGGGAGCAGATCCCTCTTGAATGAATTAATGCTGTCCCTGGGGTGTGGGTGTAGTGAGTGAGTTCTCACTCTGTTATTTCCCATTAGAGCTGTTTAAAGGACACTGGCACCCCCCCCCCCCGTTCTTCTCGCCATGTGATGTGCTTGTACCCGCTGTCTATCTGCCCGCCATGAGTAGAAGCAGCCTGAGGCCTGAGCCAAATGCAGCTGTCCCAGAATTGTTAGCCAAATAACCCTCTGTGCTTTCTAAATTACCCAGTTTCAGGTATTCTATTATAGCAACAGAAAAGAACTAATACAAGCACTCTGGTCCCTGTATATTGGCTTTAATGGAAGAAAGAAACTCTATAGAAGAGAGGGAAAAAGTATACAGCTCTTTAGGACAATCTGCAAGTGGGTGGAAAGGGAGAGGGGGGAACAAAGAGTGCCCAGAGGCTGCACTTTCTTCCCAAGCTCCAGGGCCTTGTCTGTTGTGTGTAGCCCCTGTGGAATTCTCTGGATACTCTGCAGTCATCTTAGCAGGTAGGTGGTCCAGAGGTATCCAAGAACTAATTTCCATGATTGAAGCTTCAGGATTTGGCAATATTTTATTCTGGAGGAATTAAGGTATGAAGGGTGGTTGTGAAGGGTTATCTGGAATAAAAATGAGGAAGTCTGCTTTTTTCCCCTTCTTTATGAAACAGAGAACAGATGGGGGTGAAACAAAGTTCATTTTGAACAGAGAACTTCTTACAGGATGTGTACCCATGATCGTACACAATTGGGGTTTGATGGTTTTGCTTTTTTCCACTTCTGTGTGGGAAGGTAGGCATCTTTCAACCACAGATTGGAAGGGAGGACAGTGTGCTGTTGACTTAACTTATAACTTTGGTTGAGCCTCTTTATCCAGTTATTGATTTTTACTTAGTTTTAAGTCTACCAGTAATAGTTTTGGCTTATTATAATTTTTATCTATTGCTTATAGTAACACTTAAAATACTTGAGATTATTAGTATTTAATTGAAATTTAGTGTGTAATTGAATACCACTAGATATAAGTGAATTAAAAAAAAATTGATGCCCAAGGGGCAAGTTTATATTTTTACCCTCTTTCCTATCACATTCTCCCAACCCTGAGCTTGCCTCAATTAATGATTAGAACCTACTGAAAAAAGAAAATTAAAATTTAAATAGCTCATAGGGAAATATGTATCATGTAACACAGGTGTATTAAGTCCATTCCTGTCGTTTATAACAAAATACCTGGAAATGGCTTATTTGTAAGAAAACAATATTGCTTATAGTTTGAGAGGCTGGGAATTCCAAAGTCCAGGGAACATATCTGGAGAAGGCCTTATTGGTGGTGACAGTGACCCAGGGATCTCACATGGCAGAATGGCAGATCAGAGAGAAAGAGACTCACATACTTTCCTTTTAAAGCCCTCAGCACCATGTCCATGGGCATGTTTCTAGAATCTCACATGCTCTCCTTTTAAAGCCATCAGCACCATGCCCGTGGGCATGGTCCTAGAATCTAACCCTCTCTTCAAGGTCCCACTTTTAATTACCGTAATAGGATTTTCCACCCTCAATAGTTACAGTGGAGATTAAGCTTCAGTGACTTTGGGGTACCATTCAATCCACTGTATTCCTCCCCAGTTCCCCCAAACTCATGTCCTTTTCACATACAAATACATTCATTTCATCCCCCAAGTCTTAACTTGTTTCAATTCAAAAGTCCAAAGTTCAGAGTCCCATCTGTGAAATCAAAACAAGTTATTTTCTTCCAAAATACAATGGTGCGACAAGTATAAGGTACATATTCCCATTCAAAAGGGAGAAATAGGCCAAAAGAAAGGTGTAACCCTGTCCCAACAAGTCTGAAATCCAGCAGGGCAGGCATTAAATCTCAGAGCAAATCATGTACCTTGACTGTGTTTGATGTCATCTGCATGCTTGTGTGGGAGTTGGGTCCCCAAGTCCTTGGGCAGTTCTGCTTCTGTGGTTTTCCTGGTCTCCAGCCATGCTTCAGCTCCTGCAGGATGACGTCCTGCGCTGGTATATCTACAGTTCTGGAGTCTCCATGGTGGTCCCACTCTCATGGCTCTACTAAATATGTCACTGGTGGGTGTTTTCTGCTGTAACTCTGACCCCACATTTCTGCTCAGTATTGCTCTAGTGAAGGCCATCTGTGGTGATTCTGCCCCTGCAACAGATCTCTTCCTGAGTCCCCAGATGTTTACGTACATCCTTTGAAATTGAGGTGGAGGCTCCCAAGCCTCCACAGCTCTGGAATTCTGTGAGGCTGCAGACCTAACACCACATGGATGCTGCCAAGGTTTCTGGCTTGTGTCTTCTAAAGCTGCAGGTCCAGTCACACCTGGGGCCAATTTAGGCACAGCTGGAGCAGCCAAATTAGCTAAGATACTGGTTTGAGGAGCAGCTTCCCAAAGTGACCCTGGGCAGTGAACCTGTGGAGGGTGCTTTGGACCTGTCCCTGAGACCATTCTGTCTCCTTGGGCCTCTTGGCCTGTAATGGAAGGGTTGGGTCCAGAGACTTCTAAATGCCTTCAGGGCCTTTTTTCCCTTCTCTTAATAATCCCTTTCTTCTGTACTAATCTCATTAGCAAAGGATCACTGGGTTGTACCATTGCATTTTTCTTCTGAAAATGCCCTCTGCTTCTGTACCACATGGCCAGGCTGCAAATATTCTCAATCTTTACACTCTGCTTCCCTTTTAAATTCCAGCTTTACGCCGTGCCTTTGCTGCCATAACTCAGCATAAGCTGTTGCAAGTAGCCGTGCAGCTTCCTGAATGCTTTGCTGCTTAGAAATTTCTTCCACTGAATACCCTGGGTTAGTACCTTACAGTTCCACACTCCACAAAACTTTTGGGCATGAACAGAATGCAGCCGAGTTTCTTGCAAGTTCATAGCAAGGGTGATCTTTGCCCAGATTCCAGTAAGATGCTTCTCACTTCGATCTGAGACCTCCTTAGAATGGTCTGTACTGTCCGTATTTCTATCAGTGGTCTGCTCACCACCATTTACCCAGTCTCCAATAAGTTCCAAGCTTTCCCTGGTTTTCTTGTGTTCTAAACTCCCACCAGCAGCTAGGTTTTTTCTGGTCTGCTCCTTCAAATTCTTCCAGCCTTTGCCCATTAATCAGTTCCAAAGCCGCTTCCACATTTTCAAGTATCGGTTATAA